CAGTGGGTAAATCTGGCGACACCGCTACGGGCAAGGCGTAAAATTGCGATGATGAGCCCTTTCTCTTTTTTCATTTAGTGAGATTTTCCACCGTGGTGTTCACCATCTTGTTTTCTATAGCTAGACGAAGAAAAAACGCTCAACTACGAAGGTGAGCTAGCGAAGTCACCGCACCAGAAAAATTTGCTGCCAGTACTTTTTATTTTTTGACTTTTTTAGTTTAATCGAGACCTACTAACGTGTTTTCTCACAATGATAGGTATAAAATAGGTCGAAACCGACTAAAACTGATCAAAAACGGCCAAGCCGAGGCAAACCACCACCGCGGACAGCTGTGTCGTCACCGAAGCACGGCAGTGCCACCGTGCCAGAATTCTAAAATTGACTGAAAAATATTTTTAACACCGATTTTGAATTTTTTATGATATTTTTAGATACGTGAAACGTATTTTAATCTCCGTAAAAAAATTCAGAAAACTTAGAGACCGCTAGTAGGCAAAGTAGAAAGTTTGGTATTTCAGACACCAATTCGGGTAAGAATTCATCACCTTATTTCCGGTTATAGAATTGAAGTTTAATTATCAATAATACGGTGTTTTACATAATTTAAAAAACTTTGAGAATTAATTACAAGTTACTAATGGAGGTAGAACCGATTATTTATTATTATTTCTCTTATTTAACCGATTATTTGATTTTACAGCTTTAAGTACATTACAATATACTGAAATTGGTAAAATAATTCAGTTGTATTTCCTTAATACATGTATTATTTGTCTTGCGTTGATTTACGATTTAATTGTGAAACTGAAAATTAAATGTAAACAAAAACTCAATTAAATAAATAAATAAATAAATGGTAGCCTTACTGGATATTCTGGGAGATGGTGGATGGATTAAGTACATGAGGAATCCTACCGTGAACATCGCTTCATACTGGACAGGGTATCGATGATTGATATTTTTAGCACTCATACCGGACGGGGTATCGAAAATTGGTATTTTTGGCGCTCATACCAGGCGGGATATGAAGACGATCCATTTCACCTTTATACCGGACGAGATATTGAGTAATGATATTTTTGGCGCTCATATCGGACGGGGTATGAAGACGGCCGATTAGTTGACAATGTTGAATAATAGTTCACGCATAGTGGGACATGCTTATGGGTCCCTAGGGATACCAGCAGGCAATTAAAAAAGAAAAATTATTATTCTTGCTCACTTGAATATAAGATTGAAATATTATTTGAGTTATTGTCTCTACATATCGATTTTGAAAATCTCGCAAACGGTAAATATATGCAATAAATGATTTTTTTTATAATAAATGAATTTACTTAAATCAAGAGCTTTATTAGTTGTTTTTATAATTTTTATTAACTTTTTGTTTCTATATCGGTGAGTAGTGTGATATTCTTACTGGAGTAGTATACCTCACTCTTTCATTAACTATTTCATATCAAGAAAAACAAGACCCAGATTCTGATCAACAAGATGATTGTGAATAGTTCACCACACGGACTTTCTTTAAGAACTAGTGAAAGTCATCATAGAATGCTCAATATATTGTATTTTATTTGCTTCATTAATTTTGTTTGGTTTTTTAGAATAAGCGTTTTTGTATTTTTATTGGATATTCTAAATTATTGTGTAAGGAATGTAAACTCTAAACTCTATTGTTTCACTTCCGCATTTAATTTATGATTTTATTTCTTTTTAAGTTCTGGACTGCTACAGAAAATTTAATTAAAAAATTAAGATTTAAACTCTAAAGTATAATTTTAAGAAAATAATTAACTATAATCATTATATATTAAATATCAAAGTATTATTTCATGGTGGTACTTGGTGAAGAATATTGCAATTGTATTAGAAAAAAAAAAATTGATTACTTAATATATTGTATTTAAAAAAAAAAAAAAAAACTTGATTTGTACTTAATGCTTTTGTTGTTCATTTACTTGAGGTATAAATGTTACTATATTAGTTTAATTATTTTAGTAGAGATGGAATTATAAATTTAAGTAAAAGATTAATACAATTAAACTAAATTCTTAGACTAACAATATTAAATACTTGTTTTACACTGTTCACTTTTATTTCTAATTCTAATTAATTATCAATTACCTAAAATATAATAATTTTATAACAATTAACCTAATCAACTATTTTTTATGATATTTTAAAACTAAAATAAAAAAAAAAAACTATTTCTATTTCAATAAACTGTCTGGTTACTTGCGGGCACATAACTTATTAATTAAGTATAATACTTAACATCTTAATTATTGATAATATGATAATTATATTAAATTTAATTATTTATACCTACTTCTTTCGTACACCATACTACAATCCCGTAACATGCTAACCTGTTCATAGAGATCGACTAGGAGAGTAGGTCCTCCACTTTGCCCTGCACGCTTTTTCGTTGACATTGACTACATGACTAATCCAAACTAGAGACCACATGTAACACCACTGAGTTATATTAATTGTTTGTTCTATTTATTATTTATGGTAATTATCCATGTGTGTGTATGCATGCACTTTTTTTTTTTTCAAAAAAAAAAAAATTACATTCAATATTTAATTTGGTATTATAATTTTTTTAAAAAAAAATTAATTATTGTTAATTTTGCATTGTGTTTTTTTTTTGTTGTTGTTGTTTTCATAAGTTTACCTGGAATATAATTTTTTTATACGTTTAAGTTAAAGTATAACATGAATTTTTCTATAAAAAAAAATTAACGAGGGTAATACTATTTTAACATATAAAAAATATATTATGGTTATATGTATATAAAAATATTAAACTAGACAATGTCTAACAATATAATATATGCATAGATTGAAAGAAAACCAAATTGAATCTAATAAAAAGTTATCATGTTTATTTAATTTGTAGTAGAGATAGCAAGAAGTGAATATAGGTAAATTTAGATTTCACCAAATTTAGTCAGCATTACAAATGTATAACTAAAACTCATTTCACGCTTGATAAAGATTCGTTTTTATTTAATTATTATTATTTTTTTGGATGTATTGAATTTATAAATTTAAAATATTAAAATGATTTGAGAGAGAGAAAATAAGAACTTGCAAAGGGGATGATTATTTTTTAAATATTTTGAATATCAGAGTTATTTATAAATTTTTTAAATGTCCAAAATTATTTATAATTATATTTTTTATGTTATAATGATGGTAATTAAACATGATTATCTTAAATTAATAAGAAAAATCATCTGATT